CTACTACTACTACTACTACTACTACTACTACTACTACTACTACTACTGCTATACTATTACTACTACTGCTACTACTACTATTACTACTACTATATTATTACTACTACTACTACTACTACTACTTTACTATTACTATGCTATTACTACTACGCTACGCTTCGTGCACGTGCGCATACACATGTATACATAATGTATGTAGATATCGTAGATATGCGTACATATATATATATATATATATAGTTATATACGTAATCTCCAGGAAAATGTCAATATTTATAATTAATTTAAGGCTTGAGTTCAAACAAGACTGCCAAAATACCAATAACACGACCAACTGCTATGCATACACCATATAATGTTGTTGCTGTTTCTGCATATCCTCGAGCTTTTGGTTTCATAAATTAATGAAACGCCCCGCGTTTTGTCATCGTTACCGCCGCCGCGTCGTTCATAATACATCGCAATATTGTTAATTACGTCTTATTATAACGATACCGCGTGAAGGCATCATCTATTTGAACACTATTTAAATATTTAATAGTACTTACGTGCAAGACTGCACTTCTTAATAAGTATAATTTTTTTGCGCCCAATAACTTCTACGTGGTTTCGCGTCTGTGAAATGTATTCGTCACATTCGTTGTGTGCGTTGATGATATAGAAAATACAAACGATTACATTATATAAGCACTGTGCACGCATAAAAAAGCAAATGCATCTATGCGCGTGTAATTATTTTTAATTGAAGTAAACTATCTTTGCATTACCATCCTGGTACCCTAATCCTCTTTGTCGTCATTCCCATACTGATTATTTACTCACATAATTTTTATAAGCATTTCGTTTACAAGCATTTCGCATTTTTTTGTTTTCGATTAACGCGAGCAATAAAAAGACAAAAATGAATTTTTTTTAATAGTCTAGACGTCGTGACATCCCACTAACGAAATAATTGTGTTTTTTAATTTTTAAGCTATTTTCCCCCCCATACACATCAGAGGACATGTATACCTACGGATACGAGAGAGTAATAATCATATGCACAACTAGAGCTTAAATGTTGATAGGGTTAAAAGTTAGAAAATACCAAATAGAAATACAGGGACTAGGCTGTCGCACTCCCATTTTAATAATTTCCTTACAGGTACCTACAATATTTCACTAATCACTATTATGGGTTTACATTTTTTTTCGGACTAGGCCTCATTATTTAACATCATTGAGGTATCATAGATAGATAGTATAAACTTAGTTGAAAAT